TTGTTATTGTATGTCCTCTTGGCAAAATGATTGGATACTTGACATTGTTGGGTAAGTAATGGGCATTTTGCAATCGACTGCAAGATCGCAATAATCTGTCTTCGTCAATTTGCGGATTTAAAGAAATGATTTTGCTTAATATCGATATCGGTTTTCCTTTTTCAATGTTGCTATATTCTTCTTAAAGCTTTCTTTTTGAACTTTAGCTATGATTTCTTTTTCACTTTCATGATATTCATCAGCTGCTATATCACCCTTTTTACGAAAGTCTGTTTCAAATCAACAATTTCCTATAAACCAATGGATCCAGCCGTTTATCCTGACAAGTTTTTTCCAACATGAGAACTTGTTTATATCAAGCAATTGCTTTGTTACTTCAGTGGATAATGCAAAATTCATTAATACTGGATTTTTCTTTACTTCAAATGAAGCCTCTTGTGTAACTTCAATGTGATTCTGTGGTCATTTTTCTTCTAAAGAATTAAGGAAACTTGGTCCATGTCACCATACATAATTGCTTTCTAATTCTTTAACTGTTGTTCCTCTTGTTAGTAAATCAGCTACATTAGTTTTTTTTGGTATGTATCTCCATTGTTTTAGTTCAGTCTTTGATTGAATGAATCCAATACAGTTGGCAACAAATGGTTTCAACTTTCAACTTTGATTTTTTATCCACCATAAAACATTAATCACACCATATAGTTACGTCCTTAGTTTCCAGCTTCAATGCCTTGACAATCTTCTCTGCAAGTCATAAACCGAGGACAGCTCCAAGTAACTTAAGTCTTAGTATACTAATAGATTGCAATGGACTTACTCGGGCTTTTGACATTATGTTTACACAGGTCACTTCTCCTGTGTCATAAACATTGTTGGTAAGCAACAGCACAGTAAGCTTTACAAGACGCATCCGTAAAAACATGGATAGACCTATTTGTTACTGTTGAGGTTGTTTGTAAACATCTGGGAATGTTTATTTTTGGGAGATCGTTTAGTTCTTGAAACCATTGATCAACATTATTTGCAATCCGGAACTGCATCATCCCACTCAATTCCATCAATCCACAGTTCTTGCATAACTATTTTGATTCAAATGATAAATGGTGCCAAAAAACCCAATAGATCAAACAACGTTGCCATTTTTTAAAGCAAAATTCATTTTGTATATACCGTATTTTCTTCGGTTGTTACAGAATGAAAACTAAATAAATCAGGTTTTGCTTTCCAGACAACTCCAAGTGTTTTCATTGCAGGCAATTCTCCAGAATCTAAATTTATATGTTCTGCACAATCATTTTCTGGTGTTATTTTAAGAACTTCGACCGAATTTGAAAGCCACTTTCGTGCAAAAATTCCTGCTGAACCCCATAGTAGCATGAGTTCCTTGTATAATTGAATTCCTACTTTTTCATCAACTACAGAAGTTATCGTGTCGTCCATGTAAGTTGCTTCAAGAACAGCTTCAAAAGCCAAATGAAATTTGCGTTACAAATTGAGCCATAAAAGACGCTGAGTTGATTCCAAATACAAGCCGATTAAACTGAAATACCTCAGGCTCGGCAGTTGAATCTAGGTTTCTCCATAAAACTCGTTGGTACCTTTGGTCATCTTTACGTATTCCAATTTTTAAATACATTTCTGCTATATCACAAGCTAAAGCCACTGGGTATTTTGGAAATCTCAGCAAAACAGTCACAAGGTCTTGTTGAAGTTTTGGACCTTGATAAATAACATCATTAATTGATTTACCATTATATTTTGCAGATCCATCAAACACAATTCTGACTTTTGTAGTTGATTTATCAGGACGAAGAATTGGAAAATGTGGTAAGTACCAACCATCTCCAAGATCCCTTATATTGATTTTCTCCAAGTATCCCTTTTCTTGATACTTCTTAATAATATTATTGTACTCTTCTCCTAGACTTTTGTTTTTCATTAGCCGTTTTTCCGTATTTTGTAATCTGTTTAATGCCATTGTATAATTATTGTACAAATGTCTATTACCTTTCCATGGTAATTTTAGCTCATATCTTCCGTTCTCAGTTTTTAGCGAATTAGTTACTATATTAAGGGCGGTAGAGTCTTCTGCACTTGTCATTGTTTTTCTGAATTGCATCTCTTCGTCGCCTTCAATTTCCCAACATTTTTTAATGGTGTTGTTTGCATCTTCTATTTCCTTTGTACTAGATGTTATTTTTGAAAAATGGGTTTGAAGAGATCCACCAGTACCACCAACACATGTCCATCCGAGCGGCGTGAGTCAAGCCACTGGTTTATTAAATCCTCCATTTACTTCCTTAATTGCACAGTACAGCTCAGCGTAATCCACACCAATTAGAATGTCAGGTCAGGTTTATCCTGCTACTGGTAACATGTAACCCAGTACAATCTGCTTCATTTCCTGCTGCCTTGTAGGATATGCCTTTTTAGGCAAAGGCTAGGAGATGCAAACACCAACATAAAACACCCCCTGCCTTGGGGCTCTTGGTTGAGTAAA